CCCCAACGCCGGCAAGCAACCACTGCGAATTCCTTCGGGTGGTGCCAGTCTCATCCTCTTCACCTTCCCACGCTCATTCTGGGGGCTAAGGAAATGCTTATCTCCCCGAGCGCGGCCTTCGCCATACCATTCCATCACAGATCTGGATCTCCACAGCCCATATTGGTAGCCAGGCTCAGGCCAGTTTTGTAGCCCTGCCAATTTTGTCCCTCTGCTCTAAACCATGGTTGGATTGCTCTCTTTCAACCGAGTCCTTTTGGTTTTGCTCATCTTTTAGCTGCTGTTCGCAAACCCTGGGTGAGGATGGCCATTGAGGTCCCAAATCTGTCCCCATCCCAACACATTACGCACAGATTTTATTAATATGAATAGAGCATCGTCTGAGTACATGATGGCTTACAGAGGTAATGCAGGCAAAGCAAACATACTGACGGGGAGAATCGAGTCTTTGCAGTCTGGCTCCGTAACCATGCACTGATGGGAGAGCTGGCCTTCAGTTTGCTAGACTGCAAAGCCGACTTACCTGCAAGATTTCAGCCTTGTGGCTAGAAACAGGGCAGCCTGGAGGGCTTTCCCCAGGAGCTGGTTGCGACTCGAGAAAGCACAACCACCACCGCAGGAGAGCAAAGTTGGAGGAGAGGATCTGGGTCCTCCACTGCAGAAATGCCTTTTGGATGAGAACAGCCAGGGTTGCTGGGGAGGAGAAGCGTTCTCCCTTTTCTGGATTTTCAACTCACTTTTGGGACACTTGGACTATGGCCCTCCAAATCATGCAAAAAACGGAGTGTTATCGGGCTTCCTCCAGATATGTAGCTAAGCGTATGGCAGACTAGTTGCAAAATCCACCGCCCCTTCCCCAATCCGATCCGCTCCAACCCACCCAGCATCTCCTTTCTCCTCTACCCAACCCATGGAAATCCCCAAGCTCTGTCAGCAGCATCAGTAACGTAGCAGCAGTTGCAAAGGCCAAAGCAAGCCCTTTCATCTTCCCACGAAGCTGAAGAAGATTCAGAGAGGCAGGCAAGGGTCAGCGGCGGCAGCTCCGGCCGGCATGATGCAATCCATCCCAGACGTTCCAGGGGTTCCAGAAATTCTGGGCAATTCAGCTGAATCGGGGGGGCGGGGGGAGTCCTTCTCTTTCCATTTGGGACTGTGCAACCAGCCTCTTTTCTTCTTTTGATACAAACGACGATTCCCCCAAAGAGGAGATGGAGACAAATCGCATCAGTCCTCCGAGGCTTGAACAGCAAGGAAAATGGAGGGGCTTGGACCCTTGGCTCCCCCGTTCCCATTTACACATGGAAAGGGTTCCACTTCCCTGGAGCATCCTTCTCTTTTTTCTGGGATCTCTCGCTGCCAGCCTCTTTGTAGCAATAGACCCCAAAGAGTTTGTATTTTTTGTCGGGGAAGCCCAGGTTGCGAACACCAGGTTCCCGGCCCCCACAGCGAGCCCGGGGGTTGACAATGGGGTAGCGAATACTTCCATCCCCAACCCAGCCGGCCTCACATTTGTCCAGGAGCTGGATCTTCCAGGCAGCATAGAGCTGGCCAACCTTGGCCACCATGGCTCCGTTCCTCTTGCAGGCTTGGACGGCTTCAGGGAAGCTCAGTTTGCGGTAGGTTTTGAGGAAAAAGACTTTGCCTGGAAAGGATCAAGAGGAGAGGCAGGGGAGAGAATCAGAAAGGGGCGACTGGTTTGGGGTTTTCCCGTCCTTGTGCATCAAGCCTACGATCTGCAGCACATAGGTGGCCCTTTTCATTGGGCCCCAAAGTCTCTCCCCCAAGTAGGACCATTGAAGCTTGCTGGCTTCAATGTCTTTAACATACCCAACCTCAACATTGACCCATAAAGGGTGGAAAATTTCAATCCCACCCTCTCTGATGACATTATTGGGTCCTTGCCATGCCCCAGTGTTCATCATCAAGGCCATCAATGTAGGTATCTGGAGGTCAGTCAGCTGAAGACATCCAGAAACACAGAACAGTCCAAGGCAGTGTTTCTCAACCTTGGCAACTTGAAGATGGGTGGACTTCAACTCCCAGAATTCCCCAGCCAGCCATGGACGTTCTGGAATTCTGGAAGTTGAAGTCCACCCATCTTCAAGTTGCCAAGGTTGAGAAACACTGGTCCAAGGTGTGAAGGAATTGAGGGACAAAGAAGTTAGCGCCTGAAGGTCTTCATAAAACAACAAGAAACAAAGACATAGGCAGCCGTTCTAATTTTTTTTTAAAAAAAAATCTGTCGTATTTGCTTGGGAAAGGTTGACATTTGGCACACCATCAATGCTGGGCAAAAGCAACCCAGCAGGCAGAAAGCGAACCTAGCCTGGGCACGCATCCAACACAGGGGAGCGCCTCAGCTCTTGAACCTCGTTGGCATGATCCAAATGGGCAAGATGCCCTATGAACCAGCAGCACCTCCCAAGGATATCGTTTGGGGGGCCGCGAGGTGGATCAGGAGTGGTTGGAAAGGTGCGGATTGGAACTCCGCACCCTTAAAGAGCTGCATCTGTTTCTTGGAAAGTCCCAGGATCTGTTGGAAAGAGCTGGGAAGTTACGGAATGGCGGGTTGCTTTTGTGACCCTCTGAATCGCTTGCTCCTGAAATATAAGGACACCGCGGTCCTTATTGTCCTGCCCTGCTAATCTTCCTGGGGTGGTTTCTTGCAAGTTTTTCCTCCGCTTGATGGCAACTCTCCCCCCCCCCACTTTAATTGTACAGAGGCCAAAACTGGAACAAAAAACACGAATGGACAATGGGGAAGCACCCCTCAGTCTGCCAAAGATGGATGAGCCTCCCCAAGTTCTAGTTGCTCAGTTTTCCCAGGCCGCCACGTCCCGTATTCCAACTTCTTCTGTTCTTCAACAGAATCTTATTCCTGAGATGCATCTCATCCTGTCCCACCCACACAGACACACATACTGTTTCCCTCACATAATCAAAGCGAACAACAGGAAATTAAATGCCTCCCAGTGCAAAGATGGATGAGGCGATGAAGGCAGTCCATTACAGTGCTGATCTGCCGCTATTTAGCATGCCCCTGATTACACAAATGAAGCCTGTGATGCTCCCTGCTCAGATCCACCTAAGAAAAAGTAATTTACGCTCCTCGAGACAAATCCCATCAGACTCTTCCATCATCTTGCCAACTCCAGGCTCAATTACCACCTTTTTTGCTTCCCTCGTGGGACCTGAAGCCCAAAGGAGTGAGCTCATAGACTGCCAAAATGGCCCAGGCGCTCTCTTAAATGCACTGCTGTGATTTGTGGGAAGGGGCTCAGGTCTGTTTCATTTTCTGCATTCACCCCCAGTAAATTAACTTTCCCCATGCTGTGTTACCTGGATTAAAAGGGGACCCCACATTAAAAGCTCTGGGAAATATAAACCAACAAGAACTGCAAAAAACTGTGGTCCAACATTGATTGATTATGTCCATCGAGTCAATCCTGATTCTTAGCAACCGCAATAGATAGATTTTCTGCTTGATGATCTCTCCCTAACCAGCTCTTTCAGCTGTTCCAACAGTGCCCCCATCGCCTAACTGTAACTCAGTGGATGTAACTGAGTCTATCCACTTTACCGTGGGTCGTCTTCTTCTTCTGTTTCTTTCCAACCTTCCCAGTGTTACAGCAGGGCTTGGGGTGAGGATCCAACATTACCAGTTGTTAAACACACACACACACACGCATACAGTGTCTACAGTTTACACTGAGTTTCTTTCTGTGCTGTTTTACTGAGGTGCCCATACGTATTTGGATATCAGCAAAACGCTACACCAAAATCTTGACGTAACAGTACGCACGGATACCCTGCGATCTCTTTTTATGCACTGAGTATTTTAGTGCGTGTGTGCAAATCGGGGATCTAGTACAGGCCAAAGAAAGAGAAGCAGAGATGCTCAGAAATGCGCATGTTCATCAGGAAAAATAGTACAGTACAATAGTATAAATAGCACACTTGATGTGTTTTTCTTGAGCTGGCTTGTGCTGGGTTTGACGGAAGAGCGTGTGCGTGCCTGAATATTGGTAAAACAAGAAACCTGAAAGAGGCATGACATAACATGTGCAGTCACAGGAAAAAAAGTGCTTCATTGCAGCATTTTGCCAGGATACACCAGAAGGGAATGACTGTTGTGGAACTGAAAACAGCAACAATCTGAGCAGGGCCCTTGTTCTACCTACTTCAATCCCTAATCCCTTTGAGAGTCTGCTGGAGTGGCTGGCTTTAATAAATTTAATGAAATAAATAAGTAAATGGCCACTTCCCATTTTTTCAGAGGATCTCCCAGCCTTCAGTAGCCCTATGTTAGTAGGAGAACATGGCTTCAAGAAGATGTTCTGCCTTAGAGCACTGTTCCTCAACCTTAGCAACTTTAAGCTGTCTGGACTTCAACTCCCAGAATTCCCCAGCCAGCATGCTGGCTGGGGAATTCTGGGAGTTGAAGTCCAGACAACTTAAAGTTCCCAAGGTTGGAAAACACTGCCTTAGAAGAACAGAAATACCTTCTCCTAGCACCAAACCACCATTGGAAATAGCCCAGTATATTATTGATTATAGACATACAGGGAACACATCCAGTTTTCTTACAAACTGGTGCAAACAAGCTGCGGCTCACTGCTTTTCCCTGGCTAAGATCAAGAACTCATTTCCCCTTTCTCATTCCCTCGCCCTCTTTTTCTCTAATTACAGTTTTTACTGCTCAGACAGCTTGATTAACGGCTGTTAAAATACTGCTAGCTCTACAAATTGGACAGGCCTTATGGTTCCACTGGCGAGAACAGCTGCCCGCAAATGACTTAAGATTCCCACAGTGGAGTTCATGGATCAGGGCAGGGAGCAATAAACGTCCCAACTGGATCGGTGAAAGCATTTATCCATGTGGCGAAGCGGTTTTGCTCTATGGCCGAAGCCAGAGGCCTCTCTCCATCATTCGTTTGGCAACCAAAGAGGGGTTTCGTGACCTGTATCAATTATGCAAGGGGGGCACGGGCATGTGATCTTCCCTTGCATAATTTATTTTTTTGGAACTTTTCCCCTTAATGTCTCTCTGGCTATGTGAGTCACGCCAAAGGGCTGAGCCATAGGCAGAAGCTTCGAAGCCCAACCTATGTTGGGTGGGCAAATTATTCCTCCGCATTTTGGGGTTCTTCTTGGCTTCCTTGGAAAACAAAAGCAAGAAGATGCTTTGGAAGACTCGTTCTGAATGGCCCATCTGCTAATGCACGATTCAATCAACCGAAATGGCTTTCCACTGGCGGAGGATGCAAGAAAGAAAAGGCATTTTTACAGCACGCATACAAAGAGCACCAAAGCAGTCCTTACCGTTCAGATTGGAAGTAAAACAGAAGGCGTCGTAACGTTCCCGGTCTTTGTGCCGGTAGCCATAATTCCTCACTCCGACTGGGGTGTCTTTGCGTCCACATTCATCCCTGGCCTTGGAGATGGGGTATTGGACAGAGCCGTCTTCCAGCCACCCAGCATTGCACCAGTCCAGCCCTTCCAGCCAGGCTTCGTGCAGCTGGTCGTAGGAAGCCAGGATCCCATCCTGCTCCAGGCAAGCCTTCTGCGCTTCGTGGAAATTCAGAGTGTAGCGCCCCAAGCGAGGATGGTAGGGGAAGATCACCCCTAAAGAGAGGGAGAGGAATCTTCGGAGTGCAGGTCAAAGGCCGACCTGAACCAGACTTACCCCACTTGATGCCTTCCCAATGGGTGGGATTTCCACTCGGGCAAGAGGACAAAAGTAACGCCTTGCAGAAGGATGCCCAAATGGAAATTGAGGATTGCACCATCTTAACCGCACTGGAGAGTTTGCAAAAAGGCCATGAATAGGATCAGACAATCCTAGACTTCAAGGGGCCATTGGCCCTCAGATGCAACCATCGTCATCATCATCATCATCATCATCATCACTATTAAAATGTATATGCTGCCTGACTCTGTGACTCTGGGCAACTCATGAGCAAAAAACATTTTAAAAATTACAATAACTTACAAAAATAAAAAATGGCAAAGATCTCCCAGGCGCTAGGATAAGAGGAGCCAAGAGCAGGGTGGGAATGTGGTGGGTTGCACGAGTGAAGTGTGATTTTGGGGCTAGGGGTTTCAGTTTTTGGTTTTACTGTCTTTTTTGCTTTTATTGTTGCATTTTTTTTTTTACTCTTGAGTTGTAAGCTGCCCAGAGTTAGGTTTTAAGATGGGCAGCTATACAAATCTTATAGAAAAGAAAAGAAAAGAAAAGAAAAGAAAAGAAAAGAAAAGAAAAGAAAAGAAAAGAA